ACATAAGAGCCCGTACCAGTGATATTGAAGGATTCCCACCAATCTTTTACTTTTTCTGAGAAACCCTCCACCCTTAACCACCATTGTTCAAACTTGAAGTAAGACTTCTTCAAATTTAAGTCTCCACATTCAAGCAAAATTGGACTGTGGTCAGAACCTATTCTGGGAAGTATGCTCTGTTTTATCCCTGTAAAGGTCCCATCCCACTGAGAAGAGAATAAAAACCTATCAATTCTGGAAGCAGACATGTGATTGTCCCCCCTTCTCCATGTGAAAGATCCCCCAAATAAAGGAGGGTCGATGAACTCCATCTCATTTATCCAATCGGAGAATTCAGTCATTGGTGTAGTAATTCCGTGCCCTTCTGATCTTTCGTTTGGATATCTTGTAGCATTAAAATCTCCACAAGCTACCCAAGGCCCATTACACAGTTCTTTGATGTTGATTAATTCTTGCCAAAGTTCTCTTCTAGTTATTGGATCGCACGAGGCATACACAGCTAAGGAACCATGTGAGTGCCTGATTAATGCCTTCAAACTTGCAGGTCACCATTTGGTTTGCTGCTATTACCAGCTCTCCTCTCCACACCCTTTTATCCCACGTCACTACTATGCCACCACTTCTGCCTATAGCATCCAAATGAAATTCCCCCATCCATCTATTTTGCCATAATTGTTTGAATACATTCACCTCTGATCCTCCCAATTTTGTCTCAACCAGAACATAAATATCAGCCCCCCAATGTTGAAATAATCTCCTAACTAACCCCTTTTTTTCTTCTCCATTTACCCCCCCTTACATTCCAAGAAAGGATTTTGACTTTCATCGGAAATTTGTGTTTGAAATTCTCCCCTTGTTTCTTGATTCCCCTTCTTTAAACTTAACCTGAAACTCCAAATTTCTTATCACTTTTGGGATTGTGTTCTTTGCTTTGATTGGTGTTGTCTCCACCTTCTTCTGCCTCAAATCCCCTCTCTTTTGATCAATTCTCAGAAATAGATCAAAAGCCGCCTTATCACATCCTTCACAAGCAACCCCAAAAAGTTGACTGAGTTTTAGTACATTTGAATGTACCCAAAGTGAAGCTTTGTCTTCAATTTCTTGTTCTGAGAGACTATCATTAATTTGAAGAGGAAGAGGTTCTGCAAATAATGTAATTTGCTCAGAAGAGCAAAAGCCCTGCTGAAGATCTATCTTATCAGTTTCTGCTGAATTAATTCCTGCCCCTTCGATATCATAAATAACCATGGGCAAGTTGTTATCTTCACCCCCCAAAACTTCCGACCCAAAGTAAATTGCCACATCATCCTTAGCAGAAGATATTTCAGTTCTCACTCCAGTCCCCATCTCCATCTCTGTTATGTTCGAGCTCGGAAAGAAACAGTTCTCTGTCGAAAAGAGGTCGTCAACAAAAGGTTCTTTTTCTAACAGAATGGGGCCTTTCTTAGGCAATTGGGCTTCATGTGACCCAATGCCTTTTATCCCGATTTGGTCCAACACTTCTAATACAATTCCTGGGCCCAAATTTTTAATTATTTCCCTCACATGTCTTTCATTCAGACCCGCGTGTTCCTCTTCCCCTTTTTTTTTGCAAATTAACTGCGTATCATTACCCAAAAAGGTATGTTCCACCTCATTTGGAATAGAGGTCAGCAAAGAGTTCTGCTGTGAGAGCTCCCTTCCAGATACAAAATGTGTTGCGCCTTCTAATTGCTCGACTTGCATTAGATCTGATTTCCGTCTGAATCTCGCCGGAGCTTCACACCATACCGGCAATGAAAAATTGAATTCTCCATCACTCACTTCTACGTATGCCGGAATTTCCTTCAGAGGTCCTTTGACTCGAATACGGGCCCATCTCAAGTGATTTTTGAGTTGGGTTTCTTCTTCCGCTTCAATCCATCCGCCACACTGATCCCCCATCTCCTTCATCACTTTATCGGACCATAGATGTAACGGTAGTCCCAAAATTCGAACCCAAAACCAATCAAATTGTTGTTGAGCTTGAATAGCTCCCGTCGTCGGGGACCACCACTCCAGCTCCAGTATATGGTTGCTCCTACTCCATCTCCCTGCAAGCACATTCTCAGCATCCCTTCTCGACTGAAATTCAAAAAGGAACTGGATCCCATTCAAGTCAAAAACTTGTATATTATGGATGCCTCTCCATGTGTTTTGCGCCCATTTCCTAACATCGTTACGGGAAGGTATCTCATCGCAATCTGGGAAGCTGCCAACCAGACTTCTCCTCAAAGGATCCTTATCTCCATTGGTGCTGCTCTCTGGTGCTGACTGAAGTTCATTAGGGAGCCATCTGCTTTTTTGAAGAGCTTCCTTATAACTTCCTTTTCCTTTTTGTCCATTCCTGGTTATTTCCCTTGCATTTAGGGTTTCTCTCTGTGAAATTTCAGCCTTAATAATAAAGACCTCAATTTTCTTAGAGAGATCAGACCAGCCAGCATTGAATGAAGTTTCAGGGAGAATAATAATAGATCTCAGCTCTCCTTTAACCGTAATAACAGACACAAATCTACCATATTTATTGTACTTTAAAGAGCAATAAATAAGAGTAGTTAAATCTCTGCATCTCCAAGTTTTGAAGGATTTTCCTTTGAATTCTGAAGCTTCATTAAATCTTCTGCATAGCCACTGTAGAGCTGTTCTACTCAACTTCATTCTTCTCACATACCGTCCAACACTCTCCACCCATTCAAACCTAGAATCTGAGGCTAGGTTGGTATCAGTTAAGTCATAAGACTTCCCCCCTAATTTGAAAAAGATTATGTTAGCCATCTCTCTCCAAAAAACTGATGATAAGAAGAAAAAAATCTTTAAACGAAGACGGAATGGGGGTTGAAGACCCTTGTGGCCTGGATCGAACCACGAAAGGGTTGAAATTCTGAGATTTGTCGACTCACGCGCCGGCGCGTGCCGCGCGTGAGGTCGAGGTCTTGGAGGAAGTGGTGGCGCGTGCGAGCGCGTGTGGGACTTTCTGTGGATGGGTCTTTTTGGGGTTGAGTCGCGGGTGGCTGGTAGGTGCCTTGGTGGAAAGAGATTGTCAGAAAAGAAAGAGGGAGGGAGGATTCCGGTGATCAGAAGGATCGCCGGTGGGTTTAAGGGTTGGTAGATGATTTAAAGATTACATTGGGTTTCGTGTCTGGGAGCCTTTTTTTCAAAATTTCTTCTGATGTTATTCTTATTCTTAGAAACCTATATGCACATATTTGTGATGCATTCAGTTGATTCCTTTGTATTTGGTTAAATTCATGCAAACTGATACTCTCTAGCTTATAACAATAAAGAATGTAAAGGAACAGACACAGATCTGGACAAGGATGCTGTAGAGCATAGGCATACCTTTGGAGGCTTGAAAGGATAATCAGGAGGGAAATCATCAGTAGTGTTGACTCTTCTATGTGCATTTGCTGTTTTGTGGAAGAAGCTTGTATTCCTATCCCCCTGTTTAAGCCATACTGCCCTAGATCTCTGTCTCCATGCAGTTTCCTCTTTTTTAGCCACCTCCTCAAACTCAGCAATAAGAGCCAATTTGGAAACTATCTCCTCTTCCTCCAAAATTCTCTGGTCCTGTATCATTTCAAATTCTGCTAATTGGTTTAGTACCAATTGCTTCTGTTGACTCAGATTGCCTTGCCTGGTCTTGCTCCACTCTTTTATTTAAAACTGTTTATTGTTTAATTTTTAGATTCCAGGCTTCTGAAAGTCATGTGTATCATGCGCTTTGTCCAGCTCAATTATATAATTGCCACATAAGCTCAGTCGATGGTCAGAGTCAATTTAAACAGTAGATTTATACATGTCTAGGTGTTTGGGTGAGAATTTGTAGAGTTGGGTGGCCAGTAACAGAGCTCTGTGCATGTATGGGTGTCTAATTGGAGCTCAGTGGCAATTGCCAATCCTTTTTGCCATTAAAGAATGTGTTCTGTGAACTTTCAGTACCAAAGCTTGTATAAAACCTAGTTAAAGGGAACTTTTACAGAGCGAGACAATAACTCAACTCAAGAACATCAGATCTTACTGTTAAGGCAAAAGTCCTCACAATTTTTATGCAACTGTTTAGGCAACTTGAAAGGTCCACTGAAAATGGTTCCTCTCAACTCCCATGGAAATTTATTTCTCCCCATGGAAATTTTAAAGGAAAAAAGAATGTATACTCTCCATTAGCAGTTATCCACCTTATATCGTTGGACTAAATTTAATAACACAAATAAGTAATTATTGTTGCTTGAAACACTATCTGCTGTTCATTTGAAACAATAGATTTTTATTTTTTTTGAGAAAGTTGAAACAATAGCTAGTTAAAGATTTTTTTTTTTCCTCGTGGTGGTTTTTATAGAATGCAGTTAACACATCTGGCCGTGACTATTTCAATGTTCATTTCAATTTTCTTTTGGTTTTTAAGCCCTTATTGAGTATTGGGCATCATTGACATTAAGAATTAATGACTTTATTCACATGTATCTACTTTCTTTTTTCATACCTGAAAATTCTTGAAGAACATTTTTTTTCTCAAACAAGAGATTTAAAAGAAGCACGAGGTTATTGGATTGTACATTCTTCCTTACAGGTCCATAGAGAGGATAGTAGGGATATTTAGTGAACGTACTATATCTTTTGGAAAAGTTCAACTTGATAATATTTGCTGCAAGCAGGTATTGATGTGTCAATTGTTTATAAAAGTGTGTGTGTGTGAAAGAGGTGAGGTGGGGTGGGGCCTGGGGGTTCCCTATAGCATTCAGGAAGATAAGAATGATTGACAGAAGTATGACAGATTTCATAGAGGCTCCACAGGAATAGGTCAGGGAGACACAGTGGGAGTTCATTTACTTTCTGGGCTACTGATGTAAAAACTTTTGCTGCACTTACTGCTCTTTATCCTCCTTGATAGTATTTTAACAAATGTATCTCTAGCTGGTGATTTCTCCAATGTTGACTGCTGGAAATTTCAAAAGTTTGATCTGGTTTAGTTCTTTTGCCTGCAGCATATTATAGTGACATTTGTGTCGGTTCAATTGCATGTCGACTTGAGAAGAAGGAAGGTGGAGCTGTTTGCGTTTATATAATGACTTTGGGTGTTTTAGCTCCATATCGTGGTCTAGGTATTGGTAAGTGATCAACTTATCTTCAGAGTGAATGTGTATTGATGGAACCCAAACCCTGAGGGGTAGCTCAGCTGGTAAAGGCCTGGGACAAAGTCCTTCAGGTCGCCGGTTCGAGCCCCAGCAGGGCCACTGGAGGCATTACAAACCGGCCGCGTCTCCAGGGCCCCGTGGAACTAACCGTGGTGGACCCGCCTTGAAACAGCGGGACCCGGTGGGTACAGCTAGTCGGGTTCGCAAAGCGACGCCCGGAAACCACGGTAAAAAAAAAAAAAAAAAAAAAAGTATTGATGGAACCCCCAACTTTCAGTACATCTTTTCTCTTGATCCTTTCTTAGTCAGTATCTTTTCTGGTAATATTTGAGATCTGTCTAAATGCATATTTTGGCTCCAAAGTCCAAACTCTTTGAGATTTGTGAAAAAAATATTGGATTCTTCTGTTGAAGATGCATAGCTGCAGGGAATCCAATTGGCGTCCACTTTCTCCAGATAGCTCATTATAATAAAACTGCTTCATGTGTAGTGCAGGTACAAAACTGTTAAATCATGTTCTTGATCTTAGTACAAAGCAGAATAACAGAGAGATTTACTTGCATGTGCAGACAAGTAATGAAGATGCCATCAACTTATATAAGAAATCCGGCTTTGAGGTCACTGATACCATCAAAAACTATTACACAAACATTACCCCACCAGACTGTTATATCCTAGCCAAGTTTATCTCTCAAACAAAGAAATGATACATGTGAGCCGACTTGATTGAGTTTTCGTCTAGCCTTGACATAGTTTCTGAACCTTCTGTTTCTAGTTTTTGTTATTTATGGGGTAGTATTCCACAATTCTTGAACTTGACTTTTTTTTTTTGCTTGATCTTGTTAAAGATGTAGGAGAGTTCATGGTGAGACAGAATTCTGTTATTGTTTAAGTCATGATTGATCCCACACAAAGCTTCATAGATAATAATTGGCTTAAGAGATATCCCTCGACTGCTATCAGGTATTGTAGATTAGTTGTACTGAAAGCTGATCTGGGACGGAAATGTCGTCAGGGTGAACGAATGCTGATATGTGATATGATTATTCCTGTTGTCAACGACTAATAAAAGCACAATAAGTGGTGAAATACTGATGTTTGATGCATTATCAGAAGAAATATGTGTTTGTTACATTCTATAAAATGTACAAGTTTCTATATACATGATTGGCCAGTCTTCTTTTGATACAACGAAGATGGTAAGCAACTGAACTATACATTATACTGTATATTACTCGTACTCACAGCAGTGAAGTTACAATGAAACCACATTGATTTCCAAGCTACTGTGGATACTAGTTCAGTAAGCCACACCACCAGAGAAAGTATCCCCATCGTGAAGCACAGATTCTGTCAGCCAGTAGCCATCCCAAGACCCGCCAACACGCTGTAAATTACAAACCATATGTCTATTATCTTCTTCTTACTAAGTGAAAACAGGAAATAGAAAAATGAAAATCCCAGAAACAGATAATGGAAATATCAAGTGTAGATGACATGTGTCTGATTTAATGTTCCCGTAATTTAGTATGGCTGCTTCCAAATTCCCTGTATGTGACATTAAACTAAGAATAGTTGCACACAACCTAAAGCATACAAAACTAGTTTCATGCCAACTAAGAATAAATATATGTGTGAAGAAAGAACACACAGTTGCATTGTTCTGTTGCGATACAGGTTTATATTTTAAAGTATGTTGGGACTGAATTGGTCATGAAAAGATCTACCTCTAATTTCCTAAGGGGCTGGAGCAGAAAAGGGCTATCAAAAGCAATGAAGACCACATGAAATACAATACCAGTATGCATCTGGTGGGTGTCTGTGGAAGGACAAGAAATAGAAAGTTTTCTGATGGACTACTTTGAAAACTGACGATTTAATCTGATTTGTATCTTTTTGTCCTCATGTTGATGTAGAACGGATTTTGTGAATGATCCTGAAACCTGATAACTCTATAGAGACTTCTGTCATAAGTGCTCAAATTCGGTATCCAGATAAGGGAGAAGAATCTAGAGTTGTGGGGAGGTTAGTAGGACATTCTAAAATTCCCTAGATATTTTTAGGAAGGCTATAGAATTCCCTAGAACTTCTAGATTAAGACTAAAGTGTAAATATTGTAGGGACTTGTAAAATAATTATTATTTACACTTAGGCCCCTAGGAAGTAGTATAAATAGAGTTCTCTCATTTGCAAAATCATCCCACAAAGTTGTAATCAATCTTCCACAAAACCTTTTTTCAAAGCTCTCTAAATCTTTCTTGCAAGGCTTACAAGACTGTGAGTAAGTTGTCGAGTGCCACACATAACATTTGTGAGACTCTAAGTCCGTGACAACGTGGTATCTGAGCCAGGTTGAGTGTCATGACCCGCCACTTAACTGCTCAAATTCAGCATCCGACTATCACGTGGTATCAAAGCCAGGTTGAGTGTCATCACCCGCCACTTCACTGCTCAAATTCGACATCCGAATAAGAGAGAAGAATCTAGAGTTGTGGGAAGGTTAGTAGAACACTCTTGAACTCCCTAGATATTTTCAAGAATGCTATAGAATTCCCTAGAACTTTTAGAGAATTCTAGATTAGGACTAAAGTGTAAATAATAATTACTTTACAAGTCCCTGCAATATTTACACTTTAGTCCTAATCTAGAATTCTCTAAAAGTTCTAGGGAATTCTAAAGCATTCTTGAAAATATTTAGGGAGTTCTAGAGTGTTCTACTAACCTTCCCACAACTCTAGATTCTTCTCTCTTATCCAGATGCTGAATTTGAGCAGTGAAGTCACAGTCATGAAACTTCGCATAGATAGTCAGGAATCTCGAGGACGGTTATCTGACAACTTAGTTAATGTACAAATCTAGCTTAACCCTGATATGGTGGAATATTAACTACGTTCCAAATTTGTCCAACACAAGTGGGAAATGCTCTGAGAAGATGTGGAAATTCAACAGTTATTGATAGGGAGATGCAATGCAAAGTTGATCCTGAGTTTCTGTCTTACAAAAGGAATTGCAAAACATTTCCTTCTTTATTAAGTTGTTGACACAAGATAAATTATTCAGGCGAATGCATTTTGGAGGCTACAAATTGCAAGCTACAGGAAGATTTAAAATTTTGGAGGGAAGGATTCGAGCAAAGGGTCTCTTGCCTAAATAACAAAGATCAATTTCCATTTTCACTTCTCTCAAAAAGCTACTCAGAGAGCAGATCATGAAATCAATAAACTATATCTAACAGCTTAACAGAACCCAGAAGCACAAAAAAAAGAGTACAAAATGAGTTGGAATACTTGCTCCTTTCTGTGTGAATAAACTAGATTCAAATAACGACACTCACCACAAGCAAAAAAGTTGTTTCATTATTAAAGAGCTTCTATTGCAGCATCCCGTTCTTTCTTAAATTTGTTTGGTCCAATATAAATACAAATAAATTGGAGAAGTGTTTACTATCTTGAACACGTTGAAATAACTTATAAACAGAGATGGAGAATTCTAAACTACATAATAGACTCAATAGTCTAATTTCCACAGTATGCATATTTTAACAATAATATATATATATAGCAGTTTGGGAAGTCCCTAAAAACTTATATTTTGTAATAAGTCCCTCCTTCCATCTATAAAAGGAGAGGAACTTCATACTTGAAAGGCAGACTATATTTTCTAAGAAAACACCATTCGAAGAAAAATGTTAGGTACGTTGATGAGTAGTAACTTCTCTCGTCCGGGAAAGGTATTTCTTTATGTCGTGAGTATGTGTAAGATATAGTATGGTTTGTTGTAAAAATAATTATATGAAATAAAGTTTGGTTTCTATATCTCTCTTTTTGAAACTCCATAAATAGTTTTAAACGAAGGTTGCGATCTTCTGCCTTAAGGAGGAACAGTAAGGAAGTAAGCCGCCGGACTGAGGTCAACAACATGTAGATATGCTTGTTCCATTTCTGGTATTGCTTTATCAAAATGATGCAAAGCTTTTTTATGCCTCCAGGCTCTCTTTCTTATTCTATGCACATGCTGTTGAATATTTTTCATTTTTATTTATGTTAATAGCATGGATATAAACATGAAATAGTATAACACATTTTTCAGTTGAAAATTCTTATAATTTTTTATTCCCTATAGGTACTAAGTAATTCTTATATGTCTAAGTATAATATAGTTTGTTTTTAAAAGATAATGCTATGAAATGAGAAGTTGAGCGTGTATACCTTCCTTCTTTCTGATCGATGAATAGTCCTTATCACTACCTCAGTAGTTCTCTTCTAGGCAATGAACGGTATTTCAGCCTAATCGACCTCAATCTGGCGGCTTACTTCCTTACTGTTCCTCCTTAAGGCAGAAGATCGCAACCTTCGTTTAAAACTATTTATGGAGTTTCAAGAAGAGAGATATAGAAACCAAACTTTATTTCATATAATTATTTTTACAACAAACCATACTATATCTTACACATACTCATGACATAAAGAAATACCTTTCCCTGACGGGAGAAGTTACTACTCACTACTCATCAAGGTACCTAACATTTTTCTTCGAAGGGTGTTTTCTTAGAAAATGTAGTCCGCCTTTCAAGTATGAAGGTCCTCTCCTTTTATAGATGGAAGGAGGGACTTATTACAAAATATAAGTTTTTAGGGACTTCCCTAAACTTCTACATATTTTTTTCTTTCGTCCTTCACTGATTGAAGATTCTTTTCTGATAAGATGAGGATGACTTGTCTGTCTTCTTTTGTTGATGACCGACAAGATGTGACCTCTCTTTTTGACTTTGAAGAAAATAAAATATTCTTTTCTTTGTTGATATCTTCATGACGTAAGTGCTTACGTCTCCTGTTTTGTCTTTTATTTGACAATTACATTATTCTGCCCCTGGATGATTATGATCTAACATTTTACATGTTAGCTTCCATGTTTCTTCCGTTGCTCCTAATTTGTGAAGCTTTATGTCAAGAATTCTATCTTTTAATTCTTTTGATTTGAATTTTCCTTTGGTTATTAAAACCCAATATTGGTCTTGATCTAAGACTCTGCAGTCTTCATTATAAAATCGTTTAAGAATAAAATATAATGTTTTTATTCCTAAAGCTCGTCTAGTTTGAATCCATTTCTTGTTGAGATGCGGAAGTTTCTTGTCTACACATGTGGCTTTGACATTGAAATCTTTTATTTTTTCAACTCATATGTAGTTGAGTGTGGGATAATAAGCTTACAAATCATTGCATTCAATAGAAATGCTATAAATCTGCAATAAACGTCATCTCCTTGGGCATAGTTTTTAACTGAATTGAACAGTTTTATTGATAATTGAGATATTTCTTTTAGATCTTGTTTTGCATATACTCGATCTAAATATCCAAATTCAAATAGTTGAGCTGTAAAATCCGGTGATCCGTTTGAAAATATTGATATTCTTGGAAACAAACTTGTCTTTCCTAGAACACCAAATATTTCTCCGCTTTCTTCAGGGAGGTTGTAGTTAAGATTTAAATAATGGTATTAAACAAAAGTATTTAAATATTCATTTCCTTCTTTAAAAGTCGAATATTTTTATATTTCTTATCCTAGGAATAAAAGTATTCAAAGGGAATAAATTATAAGAATTTTCAACTTAAAAATGTGTTATACTATTTTATGTTTATATCCATGCTATTAGCATAAATAAAAATGAAAAATATTCAACAACATGTGCATAGAATAAGAAAGAGAG